ATGTGCAGGATTTATTTTCACAACTAAAGAGTTTTCCAAAGAAGATGTAAGTAATTATGTTTGTGAATAATTTTGTTTCTCTTTGGATTTAAATTTTCTTTGTTTTGTAAATTTTTTGACTTGTGGTAGTTTGATTACCAGTATAAATTTATTTAGTAAAGTTTTGGTGGATCAAAGTTTGAGGAATGATTTGGTTTTAACTGGTTTGCATCTTATGAATGAAGTACATAAAAACTGATTTAAATTGATGGTTTATAGTTACACCTATTGAAGTGTAACTATAAATCATGTTTTATTTAGTTAATTATATATATATATATATATATATATATATATATATATATATATATATATATTTATATATATATATATATATATATATATATATATATATATATATATATATATATATATATATATATATATATATATATATATATATATGTATATATATATATATTTATATTGTGATTCTCGTAATAGCATAAAATAAGTAATTTTTTTAAAAATAACACGACGTTTTTTATTCTTAAAATGTTTTGTAGTAAACAATTGGGGTTGATATTTGACTGGGGCCGGGGCTGGGTTTGATAAAATATAGCCGAGGCCAGGGCCGGGTTTGAGACCAGGCTGCATAAACATTTATACATCCTAAAGTTATTTTTAAATTATATAATTAAATTATTTATATATATATATTTATTTATTTTTACTTTTTCCATTTAATAATGATCATACTAATTCAATAACATTGTTGCTTACAGATAGATAATGATACAAGGTTTTTTTTTTATTTAGATTCTGTATCTCAATGATATCCTGGCTTATTTATACGATATCCTGTAAATCTTAAAAAAGATGTTTATATTTTTATCTATAAAATATATATTTTATATAAATAAATTGTATATTTTTTATAATTTTCATTGTATATTACTGTTTGTATTACAAATAGATTTTGGAAATATTGCAAGTGCAGAGTTCAACATAGAATTTTGTTTTATTTGCAAATTTAATATACATTATAGCCAAGTTTAATCACGTTTAATAATATTTTGCGATCTATTCTCCAGCGCATTTGAGCGTTCATTTAAGGTTATATTTCAACCTTTACTCGACGTTTTTGAGTCAAGTTAAATCGACGTTTTTCTACCAACGTTACAAATCCTTGCAAAATCAACTGCTTTAACAACGTTAAAGTAACGCTTTTTAAGTAACGTTTTTTTAACGTTAAGTTGCGACGCCTATGCAACGCTTTTTAAGTAACGTTTTTTCAACGTTTAGTTGCGACATTTTTGTAACGTCTTTTAGTAACGATTTTTCAACGTTACGCTACAACGTTTAATCAACGTCTCTTTAACAACGTATCTTTGCAAAATCGATTACTTTGTCAACGTTGCCGCAACGTCTTTTGCGACCGGTTTTCAACATGTTTGCTGGGATGTTTACAGGAAAATTTTGACAACACCACATAATATCGGATAAAGTTAAACTTTGTAAAACAGCAAAACAAATATCAAAAATATGCAAACTATAAATGATATGATATAAATTGATATGACATTTAAAAAAATTATCTGTGTTAAGATTTTGTTTTCTTAACACTCTACAAAAGGGGTATATGGCAACATTATGATTTTAAATTGTGATTACCGCTAACTAGTTAATTATTCGTTTGAATCCAGGGGGGGGGGGGGTAGTGCACTACTTGATTTTTTGAAAATATCCTCGATTTCTAAAAAATAGCTAATTTCTGAAAGAAAAAAAGGCGGAGGGTGACGGTTCTCCAAAATCACCCCAGTTCTTTTTTCACGGCAAAATTTAAAATTTTGGTTTTTCAAAAAACCGATTTGAGTTTTTTGAAAAACGCAAGATAAGGGATTTTTGAAAAACCAATTTTTTTCGGTTTTTCAAAAATCCGAAAAAGGTTTCCATCTGGCTTCAGCCTGAAAAACCGATTTTGGTTTTTTGCCACACCGATTTATTTTACAGTGTATAATTTGCAATCTTTTAAGTCATCTGTCAATCGTTATTTTTCTCTACAACCTTCATATTTTCTCTTCCAGTAACTTCCAACACTAATTAGTGGTTGCTTGCACCCTTGTTGGAAGCAAAGATGTTAAAAAAAAATTAAAAATATATATATATAAAAAGATACTATTTTAAATTTTTATTATATTAATACTATTTATACTAATATAATAATAATAACAATAAATTATTGAACGGTATAAAACTAGCCTAAGATTCTCGTTTTTCCATGTGCACTTACAGGGTTTCATAGCACTCCAGGAAAAACCAGGAAGACCAGAAAAAAAATTGAAATTTTTAAAAATCAGGAAAACCTGGAGAAACCAGGGAATTTTTAAAATTTTCTGATTTTTCTCTAATTTTAAAGTTTTCAAAATTAAGGAAAACTCAGAGAAGTTTAATATATTTTTGCCGTTTCATGTCATATGCAGTTTAGAAGCATAAAAATAAAAATAAATATTAGCGGTGTAAGAAGACTTAGTTAGTCGTTTTGCCGAGCCCTATTTTGACCTATTTACAAAAACTGTAAAATTTATAGATTAGGGGCCATCCATAAAGGACGTCATCCAAATAAGGGGGGGGGTCGAGTTAAAAAGGACAAAAAAGTACAAGGGGAGAGGGGGAGGTTGTCAGAAAAGGACGTCACTTTATAGATTTTTATTTTAGTTTAAACAACATGGAAAACTACGAAAACATGTGTTTTTAAGAAGATAATGTATGAGAATATTTTTAATTTTATTTTTCAAAGGTGTAGCAGCAGATTCAAACATCATTGCGAGATGAAATAAGTTTTTTTGGAGTTTAAAATAGAGGGGGGGAGGTTCAGGATTTTATGACGTCCTTTTCAAGGGGGTATAGGGAAAAAGGACAACTGGTGTCAAAGGGGGGAGGGGTCAAAATTGGTTAAAAAATGGTGACGTCCTTTATGGATGGCCCTTTACAAACTATTTATTACAAAAATATAAACGTAAAATAGATAACAAATCGTAGACATTAAAATATATATTTAAAGAATCAAAATTTAACGAAAGAATAAAGTTCAAGTAAGTAAAAAAAAATAAATAAAATATAATCATTTGTATAAAAGTTAAAAAAGTTAAACTAAGGTTTAATAAACAAAAAGTAAATAAACTAATATGCACCATAGAAATAACATAAATAAATTAGTATACTTTATAGACATAACATAAATAAATAAGTATACGCCATAGAGGTAAGACCATAACTAAGGTAATGAAAAAATATATATTGATACATTCTGAGACAATTTGAAAATATATTTTGATACACTATGTGAAAATTTTCTACAATATATATTCAATATACAAATATATTCAACGATAAAAAATTGAATATGAAGTTAGTTTTGAACTATATTTTAGAACAAAAATATGTTATTTGAAAATTTTGATGAATATTTATATAGTATTTTGTCGAAGTAGGATTGAATTGTTTAAAGAGATAATCCCCTATTTCTTTTATACATGAACACTAGAACTTGGTGTAAGTTGATTTTTAATATGCTCCAAGTATACGTAAAAGGCTTCAAGGCTTGCAAGGTACAGTTCTATCAACTCTATATATTGTTCTGCACGCGTGTTTTTGTTTAAAGTATAGTTTTTTAAGAGTATATTTTAGTTTAATATTTAGCTTCAAATTATTTTAAAATAAACCAACTTTGAATTTGTTTTAAAATTTCTCACCACAGCAGTTTTATAACTTTTATAATGTAGGAGAAAAGGAATTGCTCATCACTGTTTTTGTATTTAATTGGGATGCACCGAATCCGGTTTTTGGCTGAAAACGCAATCCAAACGTTCAGCCATGATGTTTTTCCGAACTCCGATCGGTTTGGCAACATAACTATTGCTAATTTAAAATACAAACATTAGTTATTGAACTTGAAGTGAAAACCAGGCCCAATGAGATGGGTAAAGTTGGTGCGCCACACCGAGCCCCAAAAGAGTTTAGTAAATGTGGTTCTATAAATGCGATGTAGTGGTTAGTTACTTATATAAATAAAGACTTTTTACCACAATTATAAAACTTTTCATTGATTTATGCTCGTTACACAATGCAAACATGTTAAAGTAATGTTAAACTGTTTCAAAAATGAATTTTATAAAATATAGAAATGTAAAATGAATGAAATAAATATAAATTTTTCCTTTTTTTTTCTAGTTTATACATTTCTTTAACATCTTAGATTTTAAATAATGTTACTAATAATGATTTATTGACTTAATTTTCAATATTTTTGAATTCTTTTTTTCAACAATTTCTTACTTTGTTGATTTCCATATTTTCAATCTTGTGGTGGTAGATGCAAATTAAAAAAAAGATTTTGTTTAAATTTATTATAGAAAAAAAAAATTTGTATTTTTTTAAAATTTATCAACTAGATATTTTTAAGATTCTGCAAAAAAAATCCAAATTCATAAATCTGGAGCACAAAAAAGAAAAGAAAAAAAGGAACATATATACAATGAAAGAAAAGGAACTCTGACACTCTTTTAATTAGGCTTAAAAAAACAACAAATTGAATTAGAAACAAATACTAAATATGAATTAGAAACAAATCCTGATGTAAATTTGGAATATAAGAACAATGAAAATGGCATTCATGAACAAATTAACCATCTCAAAAAGTAAATAGCAACTAGTGAAAAAAACACAAAAACTTAGAGCCTTTTATAAATATGATTGATATAGATATTGGTTATGAACCTATACCTGGTGCTAAAAAAAATTCTAACTTAAGTTGTGAACCATTTCATCAATAAAGTACAAAACTTAACATTTGATTCATCACAGCGGAATTTCTTCCTCAATAAGAAATAAACAATTTTGATATCAGAGGTCATATTGGCTTTCCTTTAAATTTGCCTAAAGATGATAATAATCAAAATTTTCCAAAAGGTATATTAAAGTTTAGAAACATCAATGCAGAACAGCGTACCCGAGACTGGCTTGTATGGAGCAAGCTTAAGGCTTCTTTATAATTTTTTCTTTGCCTTTTATTTTGGAACAGTATCTGTTCCAAGCTAAGTATTGCCTCCCAATCTGCATTAACTACAGCTGAAGGCTTGCTAGCGAGTTTTAATTGGCAGAAGTTAAGTAACAAGATTCCAAATCATAAAAAGAGTAAAGGACATAGAGAATACTATCTAACATAGCGTGAATTAGAAAGACGTCTTTCAATGAAAGGCCTATTGATAATTTTATTTAATCACCAACTAAAGTGGAATCAGAAAGTGATACCAAATTTTGAGAAGAATTATTGATGTTATACTTTTCTTAGGAAATCGTTGCCTTGTTCTTCAGGGAACTTTGCCACGCATTGGTGACTCAAATAACGGAGACTGATAAAGTTGCTTAATATGTCAGACAAATACGATAGAGCACAAGCTATAATAAAAGAACTGTTTCCTACTGCTACGCTTTTTCCTTGTGCCTGCCACACATTTAACTTATGTGGTAATGATGCTGTTGAATGTATTCCAGAAGCCATAACCTACTTCGGAATTATGCAAACAATATAGACTTTACACCGCTGTAGTCCGAAGAGGTGGGAAATATTATATCAGCGTATCGGTTGTTTCCTTCATGGCATATCTGGCTCCAGGTAGTCAGATCTAATAATAAAGATGGCTTTTTTAGACTTACTCCAACTAAACCATACTCCAAGAACTAAAAATGAGATTTGTGTGGCACCGAATATTAATTCCAATTTGCAACAAAGTCATTCAAGCCAATAATGCAACTTAAGAGATAAAGGTTTCAAATATAGAAAGCTTACTTTCATAATTAGTTACAGTTATTTACTAACCCTAACAACTACAACATAAGTCTGAAAGCTATTCGAGACATTTGGAAAGCATTGTTGAATAAACCTAAGCATGTTGCATCTAGCCTTGATATAGAAATAAAATAGTTTAAGAACAATAGCAGAAATAGCAAAAAACAATATTAAAATAAATATATGAGTAAAATGAGTGAGGTAGGCGAATCTCCTTTGAAACCCCAACTGCGAAAGCAAATTATTTATGTAATATTAGATAATGTTTTTGTAGGACCTTTAGTTCTTTTTAGCGCCGTAAAGCAGATCTCTTCAGAAATCTTCAGCTTTCTTTGAAACTGCCAATAATAACAGAGGAGAAGATTAGTAACAGAGGGGAGATTACACAAAGAGATTACAATAATAAAAGAGGAGGGATTACACAAAGCAGCTAGTTTTGTAAAAAAATTTTACTGTTGGTTTGGTTACTAGACTGTCTGAATGATGGTTTGTTGATGATGACTGATATGTACTTTTTATTTACTCTAATTTTATCAATGGATCTTATGCTTATTTATAAGTACATGATGTTTGAATTTAATACATTAATAACAATATAATAAAATAAATAATTAAATTTTAAATTATAATTTAACTTTTTTTACCGTAGCTACCAGATACGGCATAAATGAGTTAAATTTGAAGCCTAATCTAAGAAAACATATGATATTTTCCAAATTTTGCATTTTTTGCATATTCGGCCAAACTTTTGCTAAGGTTCGGCCAATTCGCACGTTCGGGAAAACAGCTGAATGTTTGGTTTTGCCAAACGTTTGGCGCATCCCCAGTATATAACAACATTTTTCAATTGTGATGATTTTCTTTTTTGTTTTTATTAAAAATAGCTTTATAATGTGGTTTATTGCATTCCACACACTGTTCATTAAAACTGTGAGAACAACTTTCATGCAGAACAATTATATTATATTTGTGTAGCCCACTCTCCTGGAGTCTATGGGGGAATACTTGATTCGCTTAAGTAGAGCAATTAATTCCTGGTGAATAAACTATCCCACTCATAAAATTAACGTAAGGACATATTTCAAACAGAGACAAAAACTAAATTACTTAAGTTTTTGAATAAAGTTTAAAAAATGTAGAGCTACCCTAATAAAATAAAAAAATTTTATAAAGCATTTATATCAAATCAATGTTAAAGTTACTACTAGATGTATTTATTGCTAGATGTATTTATATACTAGATGTATTTGTTGCTCTGCTGACGGATGGCTGTGAAACATTCATATGTCAGTCTGGTCCATTTTGCTAGTGCCTCCAATGTTAGATATACGATACAGCTTCCCACTAGTTCCTATCTGGATGAAAAAATAATCTTTTAAGTTATTTTTTATCCTTAAAGACTCTGAAACTTTCTAACATAAAACTTAACTTTTTTTTGGTAGGAAACTCAATACTGAGATATATTCAGTATTGTCAATAAAAAGATAGTACAAAATGGTTGGGAACATAAAAGATCAGGACATTGTCAATAATTTTATGGAAGTTGATGAAACCAGAGTCACTGCTGATCCTGATCTAAAAGGCTGGAAAGATGGACTTAAAGTGTTGCTTTGGGATATGACATAATGCAAAAAAAATTATTTCACAAACATTGTATCCGGTGTTGAATGTTTCAAGGCCGCAAGCTATGTTAGTGTTGGTTCTATCAATACTGAAGAATAAATAATAATAATGGATATATTAGATAGTAATAATACTGTTAGTTGCATTGAATAACAAACTGGTTTTAAAAATACACAAATTGTGATATTTGAACCTATAATCAAGTATACACTATTTCAAAGGATTAACTACCCGAATGTTGAGGTTAAATGAGCTTAAGTTTAAATATCATTTTTATGGTGTTTAGTGGATAAAGTTTTTAGTTTTAAAATTTTAAATAATCAAGTATCAAAAAATTATCAAATCTGCCAACAAAGCAATAATAAAATATTAGGAGGGCACTAAATTCGCATAAAGATTGAACCCCCACCCCTTTTTTCTCAGTAATACATGTATCGATAAAAGGATTTCAATAGTAGCTATTTGTATAGGTGAAATGAATTCAGTAGGAAAAGTGTTTTATTCTTCAAATTTCACAGCGAAATTGTATACTTTTTACCCCCAGAATATAGTGAAAAAATATTTAAAATAAGGGAATACTTAGGAAAAATGGACTTTCAAAACCTTGTGTATGTATACATCTATATTTTTTTTTCATTGTATATTTTATAAAAGTTTTAAAAACAGCAGTAAATTAATGGCCAATAATAAGAATATTACTTATTCTTGTAAAAAAATTACAACATAAATACAATTTAAACAGTTGTAATATACCAAACTTATATTACGTATAAACGCAAATAAATATTAACAAAAATTAATGAAAATAAAGATATACTTTTAGTAAAATTTGCATAAAAATGACCTATAACAATCATTGCAACTGCAACTGGAAGAATACATATAAAGTAAAGGAACACAAAGCCTAAAGAAAATAAAAATAATGAAAAAGGGCAAACGTTTATTTTAAAAACCCCTTTAAAAAGAGACATATCCAAGGCTCTATAAAAAATTTACCCTCAAATGCTGATGGTTAAAGTTAGGGTTATATATTAAATAATAAAATATTTAATTAAAAAACATTTTATTTCAAACGTTTTTAAAAGTCCGCTCACAGTAATAATGGTAATAAAGGTCCAATAGTGACTCGAAATGAAAAAAAAAACGGCAAAAATTATCTATTCATCATTTTTAATTACGAATTCAAAAAATAATTATTGTTTTTTTTGTCGAAAAATTTATTTTTACGCGCAACAATGACTAGAAAATCGCTCGCGTAACTAAAAAAACATGCACGCGAGGCATTGTTCACACAAAATCTATTTTTTTAACTTTAACTGACTAAACTAGGTAATCTTTTTGTAATAGGTAATAAATTTTTTTATCTTCCATTTAAACCATTCTCAATTTGTAATCAGGCGTAATCACTCGGAGCACTTTCTTTAATCAATTACCGCTTCTACTTTTTTATAAACACTATAAAAACAATGATTTAAAAGAAGATTTTTGGGTAAAAAATATTGAGATAACTTGTCAGTGCCTTTAAACTAAACATAATCAAATCTAATTTTATAATTACTGCCAACAACTCAGTCAGTTATAGCTCTAAACCTTAAGGTTCTAATTTCTGAACCTCAATACGCAATCGTTTTTCTTCTTTTTTAATTAGTACATCTGATTTCTTTTACCTTTAACTTCATTTCCTTTAAATCAAACATAATCAAATTTAGTTTTATTGTTACTGGTAACATAGATGACCTAGTTGAT